TTTCTGTGACCCAGCTGCTTGCCAGCCCTAACCCAATCCAGAGGTGGAAATGCTGTGCTGTGGGGTGGTATATTCAATCTCTGACCCATGAACAGCCCTCAGCCTGAGTACAGGCTCAGTGGCGGGTCCAGAGATGTGAGCTGGATTTGCCAGTGAGGTACCCTGGTCCTGGCCCACCTCATGGGCCCAGCCTGTCTCTCTTAGAACCACTGCTTCTTTCCTTAACCCTCCAGCCCCCATCCTTGACTTTCCTCCTGGCTTCATCTTTCAGTTTCACTTTAATGTCCCTCTTAATTAGGATATTGGGGCTGGCAAAGGCAAGTATTATGCTGTTAACTACCCGCTCCGAGATGGAATTGATGACGAGTCCTATGAGGCCATTTTCAAACCGGTAAGTGGCTTTATCCACTCCTTGGGCTATAAACAGGTTGGTCTAGGGGACAGGGAGCATAGCACCCCCACTATACCACAAGCATCTCTCCCCACTAAGGCTAGCTGGGAATGAGAGGTATTTCAACCCTGGATTGTTGTGTGGTCAGTTAAGGAATAAAAATCATCCAAACATGTTGATGCCTTCTATATTCAGGCCCTCTGCTGGATACAAGAATATCTAAGACACGATCTTTGCACTCACAGTCTATGGTAGGGAAGGCAGGCACAAACCCAAAGGTGTGTGGTCAGTACTGTTTTTATATCTCCATTTCTTTGGGGTCAGCCACTGGGAGACTATTGTGATCTTTTGGGTAGTGTTATGTCTCCTTGGTTTTTCATGTTTCTTGTTGCCTTACATTGATGTCTGCACATGTGAAGAAGTAGGGACTTACTTCTTCCCAGACTGGACTTGTCTGGGAAAGCCCTTGACCAGTCAGCCCATCCACAGGCTATGGAAAGGCTGTCTGGCATGTTCCACGGGCAGGCTAGCCTGGTTCCTGTGTTTTTGAGGAATGAACAGAGGAGTGAGAGACAAACTGCTGCCTGCGCTAGGGAGAGGGTAGTCAGGGATGATTTCACAGAGGTGGTGACATTTGAGCTGGACTTTGAAAAATGAGGAAGTACCCATGTGAAGAAGGAGGTGGGGGCCACAAGGGTAGCATTCAGCAGAAGGAACAGCACCAGCAGAAGTGCAGAGGTGGCAGTATGTAGTGGCATGTAGGCCAGTATAAGTGCCTGCTATGTGCCTAGTATTAATAGTAAGCGCAACGGAAGCGTGGGTTATGGTCTCTGTCCTCAGTAACGTTAGAATCTAATTGTGAGAATAAGATATACGAAGTGCTTGCTCATAGTATAAGGCTCCACGTCTGTAGGACTGAATGAGTAGAGTAGGTGCAGCTAAGGATCAGGAAGGCGGCTTAGAAGAAATGGCACTGGAGCGTGGGCAGTGAAAGAAGGGAAAAAATTTAGGGAGTTGATAGGGAGACCATTCTAGGTTCAGCACTGTTAGGGCTAGAAGGATCTTAGAGATCCTTTCAAATTGGAAAACTGAAATCCAAAGTGGTGAAACAAGAGCCCCAGCCTGCTACTCCCTTTTCTCTACCATACAGCATGAGGGAGAGTAGAAAGGTAGGAGTGGGTGATAAGGAACAGAAAAAAGTACAGCACCCAACCTTTCCATCCCCAAACCTTGCATAACTTTTCTTGGTCGGTAGTAACCAGGATGTGTCCTTTTAGGTCATGTCCAAAGTAATGGAGATGTTCCAGCCTAGTGCGGTGGTCTTACAATGTGGCTCAGACTCCCTGTCTGGGGATCGGTTAGGTTGCTTCAATCTGACCATCAAAGGTGAGACCAGGTAGCACAAGCATGGGTGGGCAGGGTCCTGCTGGTTGCTCCTATAACCCAGTACCCCTTTTCCTACCAAAGGGCACGCCAAGTGTGTGGAATTTGTCAAGAGCTTCAACCTGCCTATGTTGATGCTGGGAGGAGGTGGTTACACCATTCGTAACGTTGCCCGGTGCTGGACATATGAAACAGCTGTGGCCCTGGACACGGAGATCCCAAATGGTAATAACTCCAGAGCCAGGTTGGAGTGGGCTGGGCCAGGGGCTGGAGCTCATGTGTCCTCAAGTTCACAGCCCCTTCCCCATTGGTCATATATGGGAATACTATGTCATTGTGATTGACAGATCATAGCCACCAGTTTTTCCCTAGTCCTTTTTGACTCCCCTCTCCCTCCTGTTTTTGGCTGGATAAAACTATCAGTGGTTATTTACAGCTTTGGAATATCTACTCTATTATACAGAGTAACTGGGGTCGTGAGTGAAGGGAACACTTGCAATGAGCATTGCCTAAGTGTCTTTTTTTTTTTTTTTCCTGGTCAAGTGGAGCAGTGGGAGTGGAGAAGGAACAAAGGAATCTGTAACTGGTTGTGATCAATTAGTTGTAAACACCACTGCACTCGGACCAACCCTGCCTAAGTGTCTTAATCCAGTGCTTGGGCCTTTTCCTGGTGACACATATACTGGCATGGACACCAGAGAATGGTGTTAAAATCTCATAGGCACCCAAGTCTCAGCCTATCTCAGAGGCATTCTTCTCTGCTTGATAGATGGGTAAACAGGCCCAGATAAATCTACAAATGCTTTTCTCAGGGTTCTTGACTCTCTTCTCTCCTACCCTAATCAGAGCTTCCCTACAATGACTACTTCGAATACTTTGGTCCAGATTTCAAGCTTCACATCAGTCCTTCCAATATGACTAACCAGAACACTAATGAGTACCTAGAGAAGATCAAGTGAGTATTCCTCTGGCCACCCCTTGATTGAACATTGCAGGCTCTGGTTTGTCCCTAACCAGAGCCCAGCCACCCTCTCTCCCATTGACTGTAGACAGCGACTGTTTGAGAACCTGAGGATGCTGCCTCATGCTCCTGGGGTCCAAATGCAGGCGATTCCTGAGGATGCCATCCCAGAGGAAAGTGGCGATGAGGATGAAGAAGACCCTGACAAGCGCATCTCAAGTAAGACCCAGACCCTTCCCACTCAGTAGGTAGCTCTACCATTCCTGGTTCCACATTGCCCCCCAAGCTACCTGCCTGTTGAGAAACCTAAATTTCAAGTTCCAGTGTCTGTAGGAACATGTTAGGGAGTCCAGGTTCCCTCCCTTTCCTTCTCTTGGTCCCTTTCCCTTGGTGTTTCTTGAAGGACACTCAGGGAAGCAGTAGGCATAGACCATGAGGTAAACGGCCTACTCTCTCCCCTACTTTCCCTTGCCTCCCAGTCTGTTCCTCGGACAAACGAATTGCCTGTGAGGAAGAGTTCTCTGACTCTGATGAGGAAGGAGAGGGTGGCCGCAAGAACTCTGCCAACTTCAAAAAAGCCAAGAGAGTCAAAACAGAGGATGAAAAAGAGAAAGATCCAGAAGAGAAGAAAGGTAGGTTTGGGTTGAACCAGGACTTGGGTCTCGAGCCCTGGAGGAGGATGCATCTATGTAGGGTACCGGGAGGAGGGAGCTGACTCAGGCCCTGCCAGCTCCTGTTGGGCTCTTCCTTAGCTTCCTGGGCCTTTCAGTGGCTCCCAGAAGTGGCAGGTCCCACAGAACAACGAAACGTCTACTGGCTGAGTGAGCTGTGACTCTCACATACCACCCAAGCCCTTTTCTCAGCACTTCACCCGTTTCCCAGGGGGCTGCCTCCGCCTACTGGGTTCTGGCTGTAGCAGGCTGGGAAACCGGTCCAACCTGTCCGTTCAATACAGGGCTCACTGGGAGGACCTGGGATGGGATGGGTTTCTCTTTTGTATGTCCAGTGAGCTTAGTGTTGGGGAAGGGGTTTCGGGGTAAGTGAAGATCTCGTGGGTCTTTCCAGAGGGGCTACCCTTGGCCATCCCTGTACTCTTATGTTCTAGAAGTCACAGAAGAGGAGAAAACCAAGGAGGAGAAGCCAGAAGCCAAAGGGTGAGGAAGGAGCTGTGTGTTGGCCATCTCCCTGGCATTGGAGCACTAGTGCCTTTGTCCCACCACTCTGAGAGGGAAGGCACAGGGACAGCTGGTCCAGCTTACAAAGGCCTCTTTCAGGGACCAGTCTGTCTCTGCAGTTCTAGGCAGAGCTAGGAAGCCCCAGCCCCCAGCAGTCACCTGGGCAGCTGGTGTCCTGTAGAAGTCATTGTTTCCACTTTGCCTCAGGCCTCTTGCGTGGGTTGTCTCATGCCAGTCTCTGCTCTCTCCACAGGGTCAAGGAGGAGGTCAAGTTGGCCTGAGCAGATCTCTCCAGCTCTGGCTTCTTGCCAAGTACCCCACCTTTCTCCTCTACCCCCTCAGATTTTATATTTTCTAATTCTCTTTGTATTTATATGAAAACTTATTAAATATAAATATCCCCAGGGCAAGATAGAAACAAAGAAACAAGGGCCCTGAGCCCAGGGCAGCTGTTCTGGGTGAACTCTTCTAGGAGCTGCCTTGCCACCCTTCCCTCCCCAGTCTTAATTTCAAAGCATAAAGAGTACCAGGTCTGGGTAGAAGGGATACTTTTATGCAGGTGCAAGACAAAATCCTGAAACACCAAGTGCTTGCTCAGTAGTTTTGGAAGCGTGCCCTTATTGAGCATTCTAGAAGGGGTGGCTGGGTCTTCAAGGATCCCCTGTTCTTTTCTGGCTCCTAAGGTAACATCAGCCATGTTTAGATTGGTTCTGTTCTCATACCTTCCCACTGGCCTCAGGTGGGCCAAGCAACTCACACTGCCTGCCCTGTCTTCCCCCAGTTCTGCAGGTGGAGGTTGGTAGTCTAGTTTCCTTTTTGAGATACTATTTTCATTTTTGTGAGACTCTTTGTAATAAAATGGTACATTTCTATACCCTCCTGAGCTTCTGTTTCCTAAGTGTCCTTGAGTTGATTTCAGCGCCACTTCCCTGACTTTTGGTGTCCATGAGTATTTGAGCAACCCCCAAAATAACAACAAAAAAACCATCATCAACTTACCTGTCTTAACCCCTCCCTTGAGGTTTGAGATTAACTAGTTTCTACCAATCTTCTCACCCTACCCCCAGAAGACCACTCATTAAAGCACCACTAAAGGGACAACATTTATTCCTTTTCCAAATGTTACAGTAAAACCAGGTGGAAGAGAATGGTTTTAGCAGTTAGGAAAAAAAGTACAAATCTGGGGTTTGGCCATTAAAAGTTATTTACAACAAAGGGAGAAAAAAAGACAACAAGAAGTTGTTTCACATTACAGACCTCCCCCCCACCCGAAAGCCTAACACTTGCTTACCAAGTCAAAAAAGAGACACAGTTGATTCACAAGCCGGAGGTTTGAACTTGAGTAAGACATTTATAAAAACCTAGACAGGGGCAGTGTCCTCCCCAGCCCAGGGGCCACTAGGCACAGCACAAGAGACTAAAAACTCAACAGGGGGAAAGGCTGGACACTCAAGGTTTGGGAGTATAAGCACCCCACTTCTGGCTCAGGGATTTAGGGAGTAGGGTAAACAAAACCTACTTGGAAAAGAATTGGGGAAGAAAACCAACAATTGCCTTCTGCAGGGGTGGGGCCAGGGAGGGAGGGCCAGGGACAGGAGCATTTCACATCACTAACCTAACTTGGGAAGCTGTAAGGGACCATCTTCAACTGGCCTTAAGAGGACGACCAGATGGCTGATGGGAGAATCCACAGGAGGGAAAGGAGGAGAGGGGACGTGGCTGGGAGGGGGCAATAGCCCCTTCCTTTCTGGGCACAGGAAGGCAGCCAGGGCACCAGGTCCAGGCAGTGACCTCACAAGGACAGCACAGTTTTTGCAGCTTAGAGATCACCCACCTGCCCCCACCCAGCTACTCATTCTGCTCAGCGCTGGCCGGTGTAGGGCCACTCTCCAGCCCCGAGGGAGTGGACAGCTCTGCAGCCTGGGGCCCTGCCTCTTCTTCTGTGTCTCCTCCCTTGGAGGCAGCACTAGCCTCTGCCCCCTTGGCCTGGGGCTCCTGGCTCTCAGGGGTGGCAACAGCCTTCCCTTCCTGGGCAGTGCCCTCTTCACTGCAGGCACCAATCTCCCCCTGCTCCTGCTCTTCCTCTGTGGGTGAGGAGGCAGAAGAATCACCCCCACCCTCCTTCCGATTTCTCTTGAAGGACAGGCCGCTCAATTTGAAAGGCTTCTTGAAAGAGAATTTCTTCTTCTTCTTGGGGGTCTCCTTGGGGGCGGCCTCCCCCTTGGCCTCAGAACCCTGGCTAGGGGGTGCTGGCTCGATGGCATCGCCTGTGGCCCCGGCTGCCTCATCTGTTCCGTTCACGGGGGGCGATTCCCCTTCACCCTTGGGGGATAAGTCTCCATTACTTTTCACGTGGCCATTCTCCTGCAGGGCAGAGGAGACAGCAATGAGGGCCAAGGCTCATCTCCCCCTCCCCCAGCCCGCTTCTGACCCCTTCCAGACAACCGGGTCCCCGACTTGATTCTACTGCAACCCTGAAGTCTGGTTTAAGCCTCGCCCCTCACAGGCGCGCGGGGACCCAGCGCGCAGAGGCCGCGGCCGGCAGGAGGCGCTGGGGTCCTGTGGCCCCCACCCCCCTCCCCCGGGGCAAGCTCTCCATTCCGCGCGGAGCCGCTCTGGATCCGCTGTGCGGATCCCGGGCAGGCGGGCGAGTCGCGCCAGGCGATATTGGGCGGGAAGCCGCCCTGGGGCGCTGTCTCTCTGCACCTGGACGGCCTATTTTCCCGGCCTCCTGCTTTGTGCAAACGGCCCCCCACCCACCCCAGGCTCTCCCCACATCTCGGCTCCCTCTTAAGAAAAAAAAGCCTGGGCCACCGAGGTCAGGTCTGCGGGTGGAGTGCCCTCCCCGCTGGGCACCGCTCGCGGCCCCTGGGCGCCCCCTTGGCGTGGCCCAGCAGCGCCTTTGTTCCCCGCGCGGCACTCGGGGCGGCCTGGGGGCAGCGCCGGGGGCCCGGGCCGCGAACAAAGAAGGCGGCGGGGCCCGGCCGGCGCCCCCTCTCCGCCCCTCCCCTTGCTTCGCCCGCGGGGGCTGCGGCGCCGAGAACAAAGGGACCGGGCGGGGGAGGGGGCGCCGCGTGTCCCGGGCCGGACAAAGTGCGCGGCCCCGGCCCAGGGCCCTAGAGGGGGCGAGGTGCGAGAGGAGGGGGCCGGGGCCGGCCGTGCCGAGCGTACCCACCTGTCCGTTGGCCTTCGCGGGGGAAGTGCCTGCTGCCTCCTCGGCGGTCACGTCGCCCCGGGGAGCCTTGGAGCTCTGGCTGCCCATGATGGGGGGG